CTGGACACGCTCCCATCTCTCAGCACCCAGGAAAACCAGAAGCAAAAAGGGAAGGGAAGAGACTGGAGAAGCTGCGACGGTGTTTGAGCTCCTATGACCATGAAAGGAGGCACCTGCCATGGACAAATCCTGCGCCCCACTCCCCAGGCTCTGCAGTCCCGCACCCAGCACACCAGGATGGGATGTACTGTGGCTGGCTGGGTGGGCTTGGGAGGCTGCTGCCCTGCCTTTGGGTGCTCTGCCCCACACCTAGGAAGCCCAGACCCCTACGCCCACCCTGGCCACACCAGACTGGGCTGCACTGGCCTCTTGTGGCTCTAGCAACGCAGCCACTGCTTTCCCCCCGGTGCCAAACCTTGTTGCACAACACGCCTGCTCACAGGCGTGTGCCTCCAGTGCCACTGCACCTGCCTGTGTCCCTCCTTGCCCCAGGCAGCAAGTGGGAGAGCCACCCTGAGCCACCCCAAGCCCACATGATGGCATGAGAGCTACATACTCTGCAGAGGAGAAGGCCACCTCAAAGTTATGGCGGCGGTTCTGGGGTGTCAGCTGGCTGTAGTCAAATGCCTCAGGGAAGAAGTTGTGGACCAAGGCGCAGAAGGCCATGCCGTCACTCCAGCTGGATGAGAAGTTCTGGATGTCCACATGCTGCGAGGGCAGGAGAGTTACTGAGGGGCTGAGTGACCGGCCCTGGGGATGGGGAGAGGAGGTGGCACTCACCTCATAGCCCCGGGTCTTGGCTCTGCACCAGTCCAGCAACATCTGCTTGATGCTGTTGGCGTTGGGCACACCAAAGCTGGAGGAGCGCTGCACGGCAGTGTGTGCCGCCACGGGGTTTGGCGAGCTGTGGCAGAAGACGCAGGGTGTTATCCACGTGATGCTCGCTGCCCCAGCCAGCCTGTCCCTGGACCAGCCTCACCTCCCGCCTTCCTTCTGCAGCTTCTCCATCATGGCCTTGCGAGCCTGTGAGGCTGATGTCTTGGGCAGGCTCTGAGCTTTCATCAACTCCTTCTTCTTTTCAGCCTGGCGCCGCTCCAGCGCAGCCAGGCTGCTCTGCCTGGAGGCACTCTCGTCTTCACGGTTGAAGATGCTGGGAGAGAGACAGACAAAGTTAAGGGGCCCGCGGACAGCCTGGGAAAGGGCACAGGGTGGCCTTAACCCATTGCCAGCCTTGGCGCTTTAGAGACCTCCATGTCCCTGGGACAGAAGAGAGGTGGCTTAAGGTCCCTGGCTGGCAGGCACGTCTCCATTCCCATGGAGGAACCCATGTGGACCGCTGGAGACAGTAAGTGTGCCCCAAGGACCAGGAGGCTTTGGGGACATACCCACAAAGGGACACTGCAAGCTGGGCACAGAGTGTTTGTGCAAGCAGATGGCTGACAGGGACCGCTTGGGGCTGGCACTGGGGAGGCACCGCTGCTCACCTGCCCGTCTTCTTGGAAGAGGAGCTGTAGGATGACTTGGTTTGAACGAATGTGCTGTTGCCATCTGCAGAGAGAAAGAGAGAGAGGCCTTGGGCAGGAGCCGAGGGAAGTGAAGCCAGGCCACATCACAGGCAGGGACGGCTCCATGGCAGCAATGCCCCTGGGGTTATGCCCAGAGGATGCCACTGGGAAAGGGCAGCAGAAGCTCTTACTGTCTGATCTCTTCATGTAACTTGACTCCATGGTTGTGGTACGGGAGGTCTTGGTGCCATCGCCTGCAGGGGGCAAGGCAACAGGGGATCAGCTGGGGCTGGGGGAAATGGCACCCACAAACACCCACCGCTGCCAAGCGCCCTCACATCCATGTAGTGCAACAGGGAGAAGTCCCAAGTGGCCATAGCCAGGGCAGGCAGAGGGGGGCACATCTGGCAAAGAGACCAGTGCAAACAAGCAGGGAGCTGGAGCACCCCTCAGCCCCATGCAGCGATTCTCTGCTTGAACCACTGGGAGAGCAGAGGTGTAGGGGACAGGTGTAGGCAGACAAGGCCCCTGCCACCCCAACAGGGCAGAGGATCAGGCTGGAAGTCACCAGAGCAGATCCCTTTAAGATCTCCAGGGAGGCTCTGGGCAAGCCAGAGGAGATGCAGCAAAACTCAACCCAGAACCATGGTCCTGCTCCCAGTGTGGTCAAGCTAGACCCATGACAAGTGGAGAGAGCAACAGAGAGACGCTGCGGTGGTGGAGCGCCAAGAAAGGCTCTGCACAGCCTCACAAAGGGCTGGCACACCGGCCATGCCGGGCAAGTGAGCCCTGCACCCCCCACAGCGCAGCCCGTACTGGACTGAATGAGACGCTCTGTCTTGGTCACAGTGCTGCGTGCCGAGCCATCAGCCGACTGGGTGCTCTGTGTGGTGGTGGTCTCTGTGGCATGGCCGGCCCTCCCTGACGCAGCCTGGCTCCTAGTCTCCTGCAGTCGCTGGTCCCTCTCCTTCTCCCGCTGGTCTGCAAACATGGGGGGGGAGATGGCGTCAGCAGCGAGAGGCAGGGGCAGCAGGCAGTCCCCACCACACCAGAGGTCCTGCTCGCTGCTGCCAGTCCAGAACCATCTTGTGGGAAGGACAATGTCCTCAGCCTGGCACAGCCAGGGTTGCAGCAGAAGACCCAATTTTTTTTCACCACAGATGGACAGCCCCACTACAGGTCCACCTGCAACACCACCACTAGAGCACTGACCTCTGTGGGGGTCACCATCCCCAAGTACCTCGCTTGCGCTGGCGCAGCTCCCGCATGGCATTTCGGATCACTCGCCGCTCCTCAAAGTCTGTTGTCCGATCCAGCTGCAGGAGGTGGAGGTCAGCATCACCCCTCTGCCACCAGCTCAGGGTCCCCTCGCCTTCCCCCAGGAGCCCAGTGGTGGAGGAAGTACCATCTTATCCAGAACATCCTCATCCTCAATCCTGTTCAGCTCCTCGATATTCAGCTTGCTCCTTCTCTCCAGCTCCCTCGCTTGGACCTTCTCCATGCCGTTGGGTAGCTCTGGCTCCAGCCTCGGCGTCTGGGATTGCTCCAGCACCTCTGGCTCCATCTACAAGGTCAGCACCATGCAACTGAGCCCCCGCCAGATCAGCCACACACACATACACCCCCCGCATCGCCCTGACACTTGCCCAGTGCCACAGGCAGCAGGGACCCTGGAGAAGACATGCCACATGTGGCATAAGAGCTCAGAGTCGGTTGGATGCCGCAGGCACCTGCAGCAACCAAGGCAGGCAGGGGACCGCAACATCACCCCCTGCGGCACCCCCTGCCCCAGGAGGGCCCATCGGTCTCCAACCTGCTCCCAGTCTGGCAACTAAAACATCCCCAAACATTCAGGCAGGGGCTGCCCAAGTACTCCAGGCTGCCAGGCTGTGCAGTGCCTACAGCCCAGCAGCGGGCAAGGTGCTGGCAAGGGCAGTGCACACTGTTAGCAGCACAAAGGATTTCCAGGGAATTAAGGGACTTTAGCAGAGAGAAGAGCTTCTGCAGGAGATCAAGAGCCTCCCCCGCATCCCTGCGCAGGATCTAGGCCAGCTCAGTGCCTGCCGGAGCAAAGCCAGGACACCAAGTCCCTTTCAGCACGACCCCCCAGCAATGCGCAGCAGGCAGTGGGCCAGGCCCGGAATAGGGCACGGAGGCAGCAGAGGGAAGGTGCCAGCGTGGGGCTTGGAGCAACCCCACTGCACACCTGGCCCCATCCTGCATCCCACTGCCCTGGTGGCACCCTGACCATGGCAAAGCCGCCGGTAGGAGATGACGGGAGCCACGTGCGCCCATGCCACCACCTGCACCTCACCACTGGGGCGGCGGCAGGCGGCCGCCCTCCAGCCCGCCCCCCCAGCCAGCATGCCGGCAATGTGAAACTGGCAGGCGCTGCTTGCCCCCCACACCAGTGAGCCCAAATGGTGGCACATCCTGGTGACGCTGCATCACCCACGCACTGCAATCACAGC